AAGTGAAACAAGAAACGCTGCAACTGTTAGAAGAAAATCTAAGTGCAACACTTGACGACACGAGTATAAGCAAGCATTTTTAGAAAAGGACTCCAATATATAGGAAACAATTCTAAAAATTGATAAATGAGAGACTAAAAAAATCTTTAGCACAGCAAAGGAAACAACACTAGAATGGGGAAAACTCTGCCTACTACATATAAGACAGGTCACTAATATTTAGGATATATAAGGACCTGAAAAGAAACGGAACACATAAAAACAAAGCACCCAAATCAGTAAATGGGCAATAAGCTGAATAGATCATTCTCAAATGAAGAAATACAAACGGACAGTAAGTAATCGGAAATGTGTTCAGCATCATCAGGGAGACACAAAATGGAGTTTTGAAATTCTATTCCATCTCAGTCAGAATGACTATGATCTTGTTGTAGGACACTTTCAGACCTCACAATGCTGTACTTTCTCACTGGTGACATCTTGTTTATCTGAAAAGCTAACTTTTGTGCCAGTCTTCTCAGAAAAGATCTTTTGTCTCTTGTCTTTTTTACTATTTTGTACTGTGACATTTTGCAGTTGGATTTTTTGTTGTTGGTTTACACTCTGAGAGATGTGTTAATGACTCAATACCCCATTACAACAGATTCTAGAGTCCAGCTCAGGACTGGCATATTCAGTATTCAGTAGAGCTTGGTGAGCAATTGGCTTGGCACATAGATGTCAGTTCTCTGATCTTTGCTCTTTGGTGAGTGGTTAGGCCTTGACTCTCGTAGAAAATTGCCCTTGAGAGACCCAGTTTCACTTGCTGTCACTGAGTACTTCTTCTTGGTTTAGGTCTGCCTTTTGCCATTCCCTTCTGGGCAGTGGAAATCCCAAGGTCCTCTACCACAATGACATAAAGGTCCTATTTAAACAGGCTTTTCTCTCATACCCTCCTGAGATGACATATAAAGGTAAACAACATTTTCTTTTTTGCTATGTTGAGCAAAATTTAACAGAAAAGCTAATATAGTTTTGAGTACAGTATAAACTTGATTATATATCAGGACACATATGAAACACTCAACAAATTACAGAATCCAGTGAACATCTATCATGTTTTATATATAGCAACTCCTATGCTAGGCCTTCCAGAGAAATAAAAGGTGAGATAGTATTATTTATTTATTTATTCATTTATTTATTTATTTATTTATTTATTTATTTATTTATTCATTCATTCATTCATTCATTCATTCCAAATGTATGTGTGTATGTATGTATTTTTGGTTTTCAAGACATGGTCTCTCTGTATAGCCCTGGCTGTCCTGGAACTCACTCTATAGACCATGCTAGCTTTAGGCTCAGAGAGCTACCTGCCTCTGCCTCCTGAGTGCTGGGATTAAAGGCATGTGGCACCATCTCTAGGTAAAAGATGCTATTACTCGTACTTAAAGAACTCGGAACTTTTAACTCAGCTCAAAGTGTACAATAGCTACAGCATAAGATTCAGCACACATAAAAAAGTTTCCTGGCTGGTGTGATGGAGAAGGCTTCATCTGACTGGAAATTAAACATGGACAAAGATATGGAGACACACAAATGAAAGAGAAAGGCCATGTCAGTCAGGGAAAAGAAGAATAAATTTCGGAAAAAAATAACGGTGGCAAGGGTAGAGCAACTACTCCATGGAACTGTAGTGGGATAAATCTAGGAGGATTAGGGAAGGGATGATTTGCAGCCCAAGAAGCCTTCTCAGATTTCCGGTTCCTCTTCACTGACAATGATAGGCCCCTGGGAGATCCTTAACTGTGAGTGGGAAAGTGGATGTGGAAGACCGAAACATAGGAACTCACAGAGACTGTAGCAGCATACACAGGACCCACACAGGTTCAAATCAAAGTCCCTACACAGAGTAGGGGAGGTGGACACAAAATGTCCACAAAGGTGGAGTTCATATTTTCTTGTTTTTTGTTTTTGTTTGTTTTTTCTGTATGAGATTTTTTGATTCATTTTGGTTTTGGCTTATTGCGTTTCATATGTTTTGGTTTTCATTTCGAGAGAAACAGAAAGAACATAAAGTTGGATGGGGAGGAAGGTGGGAGGGATCTGGGAGTAAGTGGGAAAGAGAAAAGAATATAATCAATACAATATATTGTATAGAAGAATAACTAAAAAAGAAAATATATGGACCAAAAAAAAGAAAAAAAGAAAAAAATTGCCCTCATCATAGCTATATGCACAACGGTACAGGAGGACTTGATAAAGAATTAATTAAAATATCATCATTTGTTGAACTCACATACTATATCATATTTGTTGAACTCATATGGGCTACACTTTAAAATAACCTGTCCCCTGGCTTCATATTCCTTGGTTCACTGCCCCCTTGCTTTCCCCTTTCATCTCCTTCTGCCTCCTTCAACAATATTCCATCCCATGGAGCAGGTTGCATGGCAGTTCTCAGTTTTCTCAGGCATCAATCCACCCACTGAGTTCATATCTAGTTGGGTCTCTCTAGAACCCTCTGGAGCCTTCCTCCTGAACACAGGAAGAAAATTAGGGAACTCCTGTTTACATTTGTGCTCATAGATTATCCTGGAGCTTAGTCTCCTTTATGAGAAAAGCTGCTCCTACCAGGAACCTTGTCACAGTGAGTCTCTAGTTTTCTTTCTTTCTTTCTTTCTTTCTTCCTTTCTTTCTTTCTTTCTTTCTTTCTTTCTTTCTTTCTTTCTTTCTTTCTTTCTT